CACACACACACACACACACACACACACACACAAACTTTGGTAAAAGACAGCTCTTCTCCCCATCAGCGGTCTCACATTCTGATTTACAGAAGCGTTATTTTTGAAGCAGGATTTGCCGTAGGAGAAGTGACATTCAGATTCTGTCCCTAGCCCCACCAAGGACATCTGTGAAAGATCTGGGGCAAACCAGAAGTGCTCTCAGAGTGCCTTTGCACAGGAAGTGGATTTGACTTCAATAACTGTCAGATTGCCAGGTTTTGAATGGCCTACTGGTAAGCGATACTGGCTGACTTACATAACCAGAGAGGCAGGCAGCAGTTTGCTCATTCGTTTTGGTCTTCTTCATAAATTAGAACATTGTTTATGGATTTAGTTACTTTGGCATCTTGCCAGCCCTGTTTAGTTATAATTACGAAGTATCTGTTTTTCATCTATTAGGTAAAATATTATTTATTATTCCGAGGGGATCTGATTTTAAAAAAGAAAGTTGCAGCAAATATTGCAAAATAGTATCATTTGGAGAGTATGAAAAATGTCTTCTTTGAGGGAAACCTTTTTAGAAAGATCTACTGATTTAGCCTAATCGCTTGCATTCTGAAAGTAACAGGCCATTGCGCTGCTTTGAACAACTCTCTTGACTTCCTGCATAGAGGACCTTTGACTGTATTTTTGGAGAAGTTGGTAAAACTGAATCTGACATCATCGCCTCGTACATGTAGCTAGCAAGTGGTTTGTTCTTGGGCTAACAGAGGAGGAAATTACTCCCTCTCTGATAAGACAACAGTCAAGAGTATGCATTTAGCTCTTTTATTTTTGATTCAGTTTTGCCGGGAAAACTTTGATAGAGATAACCGTTATTTTGCCTTCCAGAAGGACGCATGCTGTTTCTTAAGGCTCCAGCTGATTTCCAGAGATGACCATGGATGTGTGGCTTAAGCTTTTGGCGATTGGTTTTGTCTTTCTCAACGTGGAAGTGCTCGTCACAGGTAGGCCCCCGGAGATTGACATTTCTCTTTGATTTTTAAAAATTTCCTTTTGGAAGAACATTGGTTGGAAATAGGGGGAAATTTTTAAGGAAGTGTTGGTGTTTGGAAATGCGGAAGGCCGATGTAAAATGGTCGAGGCTGTTTTAAACCAGCGAGATCTGCTTGTTATGTGACTGTTACTATTTTTTAAAAAGCATGAATTTTAGGGAGAAATTAGGATTTAAAAGCCTGTCAGTTTTTATCTGTATCTTTGCTTATAAACGGAAAAGGGGGGAACAGCAACATGAGTTCCTGATGCCCAAGTGTGACATGAGCGTGTGTATGCAAGACAGGGGGCTTTTTAGTGACAAAATAGGTGCCTCGTCATTTTTTTCAACATGAAAAGTCATAAAAATATTTAAAGTCATAAGGTAGCTTTCATGGCCTGCAATCCACTTATTCAGACCTGGAGTTTGGTTCCTCAAAATTTGATTAATAGTGAAAATATTTTATTGACTACTTAATTATATGATTACTCAAAATAATATATTTGGGCTTGTAAAGAAATATTAACGGTTGGCAAATCCATTACACAGATTGTGCTTTAAGATTGCAGTTCCACATGAACAATGTCGGTGAAGTGGTGCTCTGGAAATGCTCGTGGGGCCACCGCCCTTCCTGGGAGGTGGGTGAAAAGTGGGGCCTGAAGGAGATAACATATTTAAATTCCAAGAGCCATGCAAATGTTGTGCTCCATAGAACACGGTCACTGATTGGACCTCGCGGACCTATTTTAATTGCAGGTCTTTGTATACTTAGGGCTTATTTGATGGACAGTCCTGGAAGAATTTTTTTTAATGGATCATGAACACATTTTAGTTGATTCTTAAATGGAACTAATAAATTGATATTTAGTATTCCATCTCAAAATGAATCCCCAAACCTTATTTGTTTGATTGCAAGGATGTTAAAGGTGACATTATTTCAGCCATCTCTGAAAAGTCACAGGGAAAAAAAATAAAGGCAGTAAAGAAAGAAAGAAAGAAAAATCATGATTTTTCAAAATCTAGCTTGTGGATGTGAGCTCTGCAATAATTTTGGTTGTTTTCCACACTCTTCTTTTCTTTGAAATGCAAAACATGAGCCACCCTGCCGCGTCACATTTCTGTGGATCTTGTTGCTAGTGGAGGGGAGTACCGGGAAATGCAGTTGGAGACCCTCTCTGCCCGCAACCCCTGGGCCAGCCCCGACACCCCAGAAGGATGGACTGAAAAAACAAACACACTCCATAGATGAAGCTTTTTGTCTTAATATAAAAACTGTGAAATCGCTAACTCTATAAAGTTATTTATCCCAATCAAAATCAAATTGTAGTGAATACTAATTGAATAGACGTATTTGTGTGTATTATCAGGGCATATTTCTATGAAAACATTTCCAATCAGGAACCGTAGAGTATTTCTACATGACCATAAAGAAATGCGGATATATACAACATTTCAATTTAATATATTACAAAGTGTTTTTTCTAGAGATACGTCTTTTGCTTCATAATGCAAGCATGAATGTAGCAGAACTAGAAAGTGTTCACAGGTCTTCCTAGTCTTGAAGTAGAGACGCATGTCTGAAGAACACGCATCGACATTCACTGGAGCCTGCAATCGTTGTTCTTTTAGCTTCTATGAGCCATGTTGTGGGTCAGTGTACATTTTCACATTGCTGGCATTTTAAACTGTATATTTTCCTTTGTCAGATATACACACATTGGGCTACATACTTTATTTTAGTGTGTTAAAATTTAGTATAGTGTCCACAGAGGATATTAAATAAGCAGGAGATAGAGGAAAATTTTATGTTGTCTACTACTTTAGAGGCACCAACAAATAGAGACTTAAGTCATGAGAAATAAATTATCTGAATTCAAATATTATCTGAATTGGGGGCATGAACAAGGCCAAAGTTAAGCTTTGTTAGGGTCATGACAATGCTCTGTTTACTTTTACACAAACGTTCACTGTCTTACTCTTTGCTCTTTATGGTGGTAACTGGGAACCTAAGCTTTGCTAACATCTCTAAACAATCCAGGGAAGAAGAGCAGTTTTGAAAATTGGGTGATGAGTGAGTATTCTCTAGCTCTCACCAAGGTGCTATGCCAGGTCTTTTTCTATCCAGCTACCAGAGCAGTTAAGATTCATTTCCCGGAAATAAGTCTTCATAGTTTCCATTTACGTTAAGAAGTCACCTCTCATGCTACAAACATGTACTCTCCTTTTCAGATCACAGGCCTTCAACAGAAATTATCCATTTCACCCATTAAGCAGCCCTATTCATTTCTAAATATTCGACAATTTGGAGTCTGGGGATCTGAGTTTGATTATACATTGATTTTTTATTAGGAATTTCTTTCCTAATAAACATCTACCTGTGACGATTACTCTTGTTAGAATTTGAAATGCCTCTTGGGGCTGGGGGGAATGGGGTTTAGGATTCACAGGTCCTTTCCTCTTTTGCTCTAAGTGACTTGTATGGGAACAAAGTGATTAGCCTAATAGAGCTTTTCTCTTTGGGGGGCTGTTTTACATCTTTTCATTAGTGACCCTAGGGTGAACATCTTTATCCTGCAGACAAGATGTACTTATGTCTATATCTGTGCATGCATTTACCCAGTAGCTCCATGGGAGCTGGCCCCTGGTGACCGTCACAACCAAGGAAACCCGATGATGTGGCTGTTCTACTCTGTCACCCGGGGTCTCCATGAGTCAGCATTGGCTTGGTGGCCCCCAGAAGCAACAACAACAGACTAGTTTTCCAAATGTGTCCACTCTGGAAACATGGGAGTTCTATGTTCAGCTCTTGGCCCATTTTACTCTTCTCCCCACTCTGAGTTCTGATGGTCACCTACTATGTGTTGCAGCAGGAGATTCGACACCTCTAAATGTGGAAGTGTGGGACTGATCTCCTTCCCTAAATTCAACCAATTAAATCCTCTTAATTCCTGATCTCGAAAATGTTTCTCACCCTCATACCCACTGCTGTCACCTTCATTATGTTTTTATCATCTCTCCTTTGGAATACTGTAATAGTTCACTAATCAGTCAAACGTATTTCCTTGCTTTCTTTTGATCCTCTGTTTCTTTGAACATTGATAAAAGGAAAACCTCCCTGACACCTCATTATTGTTTTTGGTATGTATTTGGCAGTGCTCGCCAAAGCTCCAGCTTTACTAAAGACAGGGGTGTGAGCCTTCAGTGAACTTTTTTTTGGTTCTTGTTCTTCTTTTATGCTTGACTAAAAGAGAACAAGCCAGAGGTAGACGCAGCACGCGGTTTCTTACACTTCCTCAAGCCCTTCAAGGCCCTGCACACATCCTGTCTCCTCTCTGACGGCCTCTTCTACCACGCTGGCCCCTATCACTCTGCTGAAATCGGACACTTTTTACCACCTCTCTCTGGCAAATTTCACATACTATCGCAATTTGCTATCCTTACTTATTATACTGCGAGCTTTCAAATGCATTTACTGCCATGCTAATCTACATAAAAGTAGAAACTGGATCTTAGGGTATTTGGGGTACCTAATTTGTGACTAGATACAGAATACATATGGAAGCGTTTATGTGATAAGATTGAAGCTTCTGGTAGTAGAAGAGCAGGTGAAGGAAGAGGGAAAGGGGAAGGTCAAGTGGGAGAATGAGAGCAACTGGATGGTGTTATCTGGGTTCATTGTGTTTGCTTTGGACCTAGATCTTTACAGGTCTTACCCTCTCTTCCTCCCTTCTCTTTATTTCTTTCATTTACACCTTCCATTTTGTGCTCCAGTGGTATGCATGGCTTCTTAAAAATCCTCCTGGAAGAATGTCTGCTCTAAGTTTTCCTTGACCCATCGTTTGCATGTTCTTGCGAAGGGTCTTTGGTGGGTCTGTTGATTACTCCTGGCAGAGACGCTTATAGGAAGCATGGCATGAGAGATTGAACGAATGCAATTCGGTCCAGTGGCGAGGGCCAGTTAGTTCTTCATAAGTGTGCTGTCTTGGCCACTGATGATGGCGTTGTGGGGGCAGCTGCGAATGAGTAGGCGATAGCTGCTGTGTTCTATTGCAAGCATACAGGAAGTTTGCCAAGAGTCTGAGAATTTTTCCTTACTAATAATGTGATCATGAATTTCAGTCTGAGTAGGTGAAGAGCCTTGATTTGTAATGAGGTTGATTCATTCTGTGGGTGAAAGCGCATGGTTAAGGAGGACAGGTGTTGTGTTCAGACCCAGTAGGAAGTAGGTCCCACATGCACACAGAGAGAACGTGTCATCGCTACAGACATTTTGAAGTTTATGAGAGTATTTGCATGGAGGAGAATAGGGAGGGGAGTTTAACTTGGGCTCAGTTTAGAGGTGATTTCAGTGTAGTCTAAATTCCTTTTCCAGTACTATATATTCAATCGCATTCCAGTTGTCTTATTACCAGAGGGTTAGTGGCATGGTTTTCACATACTCCAGTAAAACACTGTGGGGAAAGACAGAAGGGAGAAGCAAAATGTTAGAAGTCATTCGTTTAGCAAGATGAAGCAACATCTCTTGCTATGTAATACACGCATATGTAGAAATGAAAATTGGAGTCATCACTAGCCTGTTAATGTAGCCCAACAAATATTTGGACTAGAAAATACATAATTTCCACCTAAATTATTTGCTTTTCATCAATATTACTTCTTATAGGCTGATGTGCCAGTTTCGATTTAGTCTATCAAAAGAGTCTAGCCAAATTCTTTGTCAACAGTTCTACCCTATAGGACAGGGTAGAACTGTTCTGTGGGTTTCCAAGACCGTTAATCTTCATAGGAGTAGAAAGTATTGTTTTTCTCTCGACGATTAGCTGGTGCTTTCGAAATGTTGACCTTGTGGTTCTCAGCCCAACAGCAACCAGTCCACCACCGGAGTTCCTGTCCAAAGCGGTGTGGGGCGAGGGTATTGCAAGCATAGTATTGCAGGCCCAGGAATGACCAGGAAAAACAGAAAATTCATATGAC